CTTGATAGTAAAAAAAGCCTTGATGAAAAGGTAAAATTTTCTAAGTAAAGAAAAAGGCAATTTTTGTGAGTCGGTCGCGTTACTGCAAACAAACATTTTTTTAAGGATGGCCCAGTCAAGCTAAAAATTAACAAAGGGCAATAACTCAAAAAATAAGAAATGCAGAGTACCGATTCTTGTGCACTGCACTTCTTTTTAATGAGATCTATCATCCTATGAAGTTTTAAGTCAATAGCTTTAATCTTTTAGGAGAAATGGCCTTGACAAAAATAAAGTATGAAAATTAACAAAGGGCAATAACTCAAAAAATAAGAAATGCAGAGTACAGGTTCTTGTGTACTGCACTTTTTTTAATGAGATCTATCAACCTATGAAGTTTTAAGTCCATTGCTTTAATCTTTTAGGAGAAACGGCCTGGACAAAAATAAAGTATGAAAATTATTAAAGGGCAATAACTCAAGAAATAAGAAATGCAGAGTAGTGGTTCTTGTGCACTGCACTTCAGGTCATTATAAGAAGTATGCATACCAAGTTTGAAGTCAATCTGACCTTTAATGACTGACTTATGCTCCGGACAAGCTTAAGGGGACGCCAACAAGGACGCCGCCGACACCGCAGACGCCAACACCGCCGACAAAAGTAACCCCTATATGTCGGCACAAAAACACTTTATCCATATGGTTTAAATACTAAGGTTAAATTTTAAATTGATCTGTATAAAATGTGTGTACTTTTTATCTTGAAAGTTGAATACCATGCTAGACACAAATTTGTTTTTTCCTATTTTTGTTTTTTATATATTTGCTATAGGAAATCCTTGTATTACTTTAATCCGTTTATGTGTAGACATTATTTTATATGTTCATGTATGTTACGTGTTCTTTGAATAACATAACGTCTTTTTTCCGCCAATGTATATTACGCTATAATTATTACTTCATTTTTCCGCGGCGGAAAGGCGGCGGGGGATATAGTAGTAATAGTCTCCGTCCGTCCGTCCGACCTTCTGTCCATCCGCACTCACAGGACAGTAATTATGTGGCTAGAGGGACAATAGGTAACTGCGTCCGAGATTTCTGTCCGGAGCATATCTCAAAAAGTATTTGAGTGATCAACTTGAAACTTTATAGGTGGATAGACCTCATTGAGGAGGAGTGCAGTGCACAAGAATGATAACTCTACCCTGCATAATTCTTGAGTTATTGCCCTTTGTTATTTTTCAAAATTAATTTTTGTCCAGAGCATAACTCAAAAAGTCTTTGAGATATCAACATGAAACTTCATAGGTGCATAGGTCTCACTAAGGAGGTGTGCAGTGCACAAGAATGATAACTCTATTAATTGCCCTTTGTTATTTTTCACTTAATTTTTCACCTGAGTGGAGCTAACTCAAAAAGTGTTTGAGATATCAACATGAAATGTCATAGGTGGATAGATCTTATTGAGGAGGAATGCTGTGCGCAAGAATGATAACTCTTCTCTATACAATTTTTGAGTTATTGCCCTTTGTTCTTTTTTATACTATTTTGTCGGGAGCTTATCTCAAAAAGTATTTGAGGTATCAACTTGAAACTTCATAGCTGGATGGATCTCATTGAGGAGGAGTGCAGTGCACAAGAATGATAACTCTACCCTGCATAATTCTTTAGTTATTACCCTTTGTAATTTTTAAAATTAATTTTTGTCAAGAGCATAACTCAAAAGGCCTTTGAGATATCAACATGAAACTTCATAGGTGCATACATGTAGATCTAAATCAGGAGGTGTGCAGTGTACAAGAATGATAACTCTACCTTTTATAATTTTTGAGTTATTGCCCTTTGTTATTTTTCATACTTAATTTTTCACCTGAGTGGATCATAACTCAAAAGTGTTTGAGATGTCAACATGAAATGTCATAGGTGGACAGATCTTATTCAGGAGAAATGCTGTGCACAAGAATGATCACTCTTCCCTATATAATTTTTGAGTTATTGCCCTTTATTTTTTTACATACTATTTTGTCAGCAGCTTATCTTAAAAAGTATTTGAGATATCATCTTGAAACTTCATAGGTGGATAGCTTTTACTGAGGAGGGGTGCAGCACACAAGAATGATAACCTACCCTGCATTATTTTTCAGTTATTCCCCTTTGTTATTTTCAGCCATCAGTATTCACATAGGTTTCAAATCTGTAATCACTTCAGCTATCAGTTTTCATTACCAAAAGACCTCTTAAAATGGAATTATTCTGCTCTACTACATTACATTCTTCCAATGAGCAAACACATTCGGCGGGGGATGGCCATGTTGACATGGCTCTTGTTATTATTATCCTGATGAAGGTGTTGTTCACCAAAACGTGTGGATAAAGAAATAATATTTTGAAAAACTGTACATGCTGTTGTTGTTTAAAGGTCGTTTTAGAATTTGAATGAAATAAGAATTCAGGCTATATTAAAAGAATGAAATGTATTATAAACATTATTTAACAATATGTACCATATTTGAATAAAGCCAATTATACTAATATAGACCAGTAAATCTGAGTCTTGTGTTTGATTTTTACAAATTGTGTCTGTCAAAATACAGGTCCAGTACATTTTATAAAGAGAGATGCCCTCCATGCTGAGTGACACTAGAAAAATTCATCAAGGCCTGATATTGCAATTTATAATATGAATGCAAAAACTTGTTAAACAAAGTTATTTACTATAAATATACCTCTGAAATCATTATTTATCTATTGAATAACTATTTTAATAAACATGTCTAGCAAATTAAATGATCAAATCCAAGATTTAAAAAAGTTTTGTTATTTATCTCTAACTCAATAGGATGTATTACTGTCCTCCTCTTAGTTCACGGTACTTAACACTTTGAAAGAAGAAGGAAACAAACAATGAAATAACGGTACAAAAATATTCATAAGCAGTTACATTCAGGTATTTTCTGTACTAAGACACAAAGATACAACAACATATTCAATCAAAATCAGTTTTAATGTGCCAGACATAGACCATATGTTTGCCATTTTGAAACTAGTATGTAATCATTTAAATTGCGGATACTCTTTAGTTTTTTCATGTTTCAGTAAAAATTTCTGTATGTTATATTGCTCAATTTTAAATATTAAAACTATCTTAACTTATAAACTCAAAAATTTAATTTTTTTCAACAAACAAGAACATTAAAAAAATGATGACTGTTTCAGACCATATGCACAAATTTAATGGACAACTGTTGCTTTTTGCAGAAATGAGTAAAATGTTGTTCTGTTTTAGTAACTTTTAAGTAAAAATCTAGAGATTTGAAATATTTTGCGCAAAAACTTTCCTGTTAAGATGTATGAATAAAATTCTGACCAATTTTAAGACTGATCACATGGAAATACATGTATACCATTATCGTGAAATAAATGATGACGTGAAATTAGTGATCTTGAGTGTCATGGTTCAGAACTGTTCATTATTTCTGGGACAAAATGTGTATCGGCTTGTTAGCTCAGTCGATAGAGCTGAGGTACAGTAGTCTGAGGGTATCAGGTTCGAGTCCCGGTCAGGTTGCAAATTTTTCTAACCCTGTGACATTTGAGAACCTGAATGGGGGACCATGGTATGTAGCTGCGAGTCCAATTTTACATTGTTCTCTATAGCCATGATAAATTCGAGGACGAATTTCAATATAGTGGGGGAGTACGTCAAGGTTCTGAACTGTTCACTATTTCGGGGAGAAAATGTGTAAGCCGTCGGATCATAGCTCAGTCAGTTGAGCCGATAGACAGACGTTTCACTATTGGGACGGTTCACACCAAGACATTTCACTTCTAAATGGGAGTGAAAAGTCTTGAAGACGTTTCACTCCTTGTTTATGCCAAAATTATTCTGATACTTGTGATATACTAAAATATACCTTAAATTTAATAAAAATAAATTAGAAAACTTAAAGGGGTTAAATTTTCACTTTGTCTCAGTACTTTAAGTTTGTATATCATAATTGTTAAAGATTATTTGGCTATTTTGCTTGATTTGATCATCTAATATAATTTATGTATATCTTATTATCTGATTAAATATTATTTTACTTTTGTTATATATTTAATACAAAACTTTTGGAGAAGTTTTTATTCCCAAGACCTTTTTTTATATGTGACTGTTTTCTAAAAAAAACAATTTTAATAGTCCAATGTACAACTGATTAGTAAACTGTTGATGCCTAAGTGCAGTGTTTCATAATACAACTGATTTAATAGTGCTGTCAAATTGTTAGTTGATGGTCTCTGTGTTTATACAACTAATTAGGTGACAAGATTACTGTTATCACTACAATTCCATAAGTTTGTTTAATGGCTACTGTTTAATAAATTGATAAAGTAATAATTTAAAAGAATAATTGATTTTATACACATTTATCAATTCATAGTTTTATACTTACAAAAAATAATATATTTAATAAATTTACATTTTTATGTTATTCTATTATCTTTTTTAATCTATTATAAATAAATATGATGATTGTTTCACAAATTTAACAGACTTTTGTTGTTTTTTTTGCAGGAGTTTGTAAAATGTTGTTCTATTTTACGTAAAAATCTATAGATTAAAAAAAAATATTGTGCACAAAAACTTTGTTGTTGAGGTGTTTGAATAAAATATGTCAATTCTGACCAATTTTAACACTGGTCACATAAAAATATGCCATTACCATGAAATAAATGATGTCGCGGAATTAGTGAAGTTGAGTTATATGACAAAACATATTTGTTAACTTTCCTAAATTATCATAAACATAAAAAAATGGTAGTGAAACGTCCATACAATTACAAATTGGGAGTGAAACGTCTTGGTGTGAACCGTGTTGGAAGTGAAACGTCTCAATAGTGAAACAAAATGTCAACGTCTGGCATTCAGTTGTGCCTCAGTACCGTACCGAGGGTCCCGGGTTCAAGTCCCGGTCAGACTGAACATTTTTATCACTTTGTGACATGAGACTGATGAGTTTTACATGTATGTATGATTACCTTACAAAAACATCCCTGTCCCTCACTTGTTGAAGTATCTTTTTTATTTCCATTTTTTAAAGCATTGGTGTCAAGTAAAGTTGTTACCAAAACATATAAAAACAACACCTCCTTCTTACTAATCTTAGTCATTTTACTGATTTAAACGAATAACAAATTTGATTTGATGTAACACAGTTATATACTCCAATCTGTTTATGTTACTTTCAGTTTGTTATGGTGTCTTACAACACCAAACAGGAAGTGACGGCACAAAAAAATAGTACTAAATTTGGCTAACGTTTATTAACCTTACAGCTAGTAAACCATAATATAGACATCACTATAAAAGTAAACTTTCGAATAAAGATATTTTAATAAAATAAGTTTGATTTTGAAGAGGATATACTGAAAATACGCGCAATAATATATTATATTAGTACGTGGCGAAATAAAAAAAAGTTTGATCTGGTTCCGTATCAACATCTCAAAGATTGAGGTATGTTGGGGACCAGTCGAAAAGCGGTATGCCTAAAATACGAAAGTGAGAATTTTGACGAAAGTGAGCGAAAGTGACTTTTAAAATGTTAATTATAACATTTTAATAGACTTTTAAAACAAACTTGCAATTTGTAGACATATATTATTAGAAAATACTTTTGTAGCTTTGATATAATACTACAGGCATTACAAAGACCGGTAAGTTTGCAAACCAGACTGAAAACCAGATATATGTATTAACACGCTACACTATTTTCCGCTTCGTTTGGTATATGTTGCTTGCGCAACTATTTTGTAAAACAAAAGTTATAGCGAACTTGCATCTCGAAGCGGAGCAGAATTTTTATGAAAATGTGTGGATACGACGCAGTTCATATTGCTTTATCTATTGTTTTTTCCTTCAAATCATTTACATATTCGTTTCAGAGTTCACCATAAAAATTGAAATATAATTTTGCATCATTTACTAAAATTTCATTAAAAAGAGATGTTTATTTTCATAGAAAATAATGATTTTTACGAAATGATACGACGCAGTTGAAAATAAAATATGATACGACGCAGTTGTATTTTTGGCAGTCTTTTCAACAGGGATAATTTTGGCAAAATATTTCTATTTTATGGAATAATCACTTGCGCTAGATAAAAAAAACCAGATCATTTGCGATGCATAGCAATGTTCTGTTGCTTTTGATTATTTAGAATACATTGTGTCATGTCCAATATAACATTTAATTTGAAAGTTTACATTGCGGAAGCTACTTTTCAGTTAAACACGAACATGTTACCTTATTGATCATAATATCTGAAATAATTTCTTATATTTTCCTGTAGGTTCAATATTATCCCTAATTTTTTCACAAAAAATATAGAAATCTATTAACTTGAATTTATGTTGGCTAGCTACCCTCTAAGTTAACTGTGGTTCTGCATGTTCTGGGTAATAACTGCTTTTTTGTGGTTTGTTTTCAAACTTTCACTCTATACATTAGCTTTACTAAGGGCGAGGACCTCAGGTGCATTATTTCAGGCAAAATGTTGCACCTGCAGAGAACCATCGACATTTTGAAACTAGCTTGATAGGGTTTCCACACGGAAGAATAAAAAGAACCTGGAGGTTTTCGAATTCATAGCAGTTCAGTTCAAGTGATTTGAATTCAGTAAACATAAACAGCTCGGCCACGGTCGGACACACCTGTCTGATTTTTTTTTCAACAAAATTTGTTAACGTCAGCTGTAAAAATAAGCAGCTTTTTTATTAACTTCTGGCGTAAAGTTTTAAGATTATAAATATTTGAATTAATTATAAAGAGAATAACATTTATATTTCTTATTTCGGTATATATGACTAGCAGAGAAATTTTCAATGTAAACGGGGGGTAATCCTCTGTGCAAACTTTTGTTTAAGTTTTCAGGCAATTCATTGTCAAATAAAAATCACACTTTAGTATGAAGGTATGTTAAGATGCCATGTCTCTAGTCTGTTGAAAATTCGATGCGATAATCTGACCTAAACTTTCTGTTCAATATAATTGTGAAAACTTCTTCAATACTGTTGAAAGATCATGTCTGCCTATATCTGTATCAAATTTATCGGTGCACAGCGTGAAATACCTTTGCAAAACGGTCACCTTCTTTACAAAATAATCTGTAGTTGTATCATATGTAGCTCGATTTTGAAAATTTAAAGTTTTTTAATGGAGAAGAATGATACTTAAGTGCAAATATAGAAAATACATTCCGTAGACCTTTCCTCATCGGCGATAAAGAAATGCAATACGACAAAATCAGAAGTAAAGTTTCGCGGCGCTGAAAACGGAACGCATAACCTACTTGCAAAACTATATTGTAGCTTAACCATTTATAATATAATTTTAAAAATTTAATGTTCAGTTTTAAATGATAACGCTCATCTGTTCTCATCGATTATTAGAAAATGAATACAATAAAATCGGCACGTAAAAGACATAAGTAATAACGGAATTGACGGAAATTGTTGCTAACTACAAGTAACAAAGGTAGGCATGCAATTTGCGCATAGCTCTCTTCCGATAGCAAGAGACCTTTTCAAATTTTGTTATTCTTTTTTTTTTTTCTTTTTTTCTTTAAAAGGTCATTCCTGATTAATACAAGTGCAGGGTCAAGGAGAGGTTACACTGGAATCAAAAATAGTAATCACTCCCATTTCGAACTCACGGGAACAATTTTAGAAGCATGCTAAGGCAACACTGGAACACGTTGTCATATGGGTGTGCGATCTTGTGTTTCAATGTATAATGCATTTGATACAGCTTTTCGGAATTTGTAGATGCTTATGATAGGTATTTAAATGCGACTGAAAAATGCAGCCTTAATAGAATTGTATTACATTTCCATTTTTTATGGAACCAATGAGTGACCTCTGCTTTTGACTTAAGTTGTAAACAAGAAATGTTGTTGGACGTTATTAGCATACCTAGCACATAATTTAAATAGTTTTAAAAACCAATATGCAGCCTGCAATGAAAATACAACTGCGTCGTATCATAATATTTTTTCAACTGCGTCGTATCATTTCGTAAAAATCATTATTTTCTTGGAAAATAAACATCTCTTTTTAATGGAAATTTAGTAAATGATGCAAAATTATGTTTTGAAGTTTATGGTGAACTCTGAAAACGAGTATATAATTGATTTGAAGGAGAAACGATAGATACAGCAATATGAACTGCGTCGTAACCACATATTTTCATAAAAATTCTGCTCCGCTTCGAGTTGCAAGTTCGCTATAACTTTTGTTTTACAAAATAGTTGTCTAAGCAACATATACCGAACGAAGCGGAAAATAGTGTAGCATGTTAATACATATATCTGGTTTTCAGTCATTTCCAACAAAAAGAGTTATAAACAAAAACATACATTTTTCGTTCCAAGATGGCGGCGTTTGTTTACATTTTGTAGGATACGACGCAGTTTTGATTCCCAGCCCTGGGTGCGAGATTTAAGAAATTAAATGGCGGGGGCGCGGAGGGAAAATACGCTTATTAATTAGCGGAGGCGCAGGGCGAAGTTTTATTTACTAAACTTCGCCATGCGCCACCGCTAATTAGTGTGTTTTCGCCCCGCGCCCCGCACTTTAATAACTTGTTAAATCTCGCTCCGCGAAGTTTTATTTATAAAATTTCGCCCCTTGCCCCCGCTTATAAGCGTGTTCTCGCTCCGCGCCCCTGTTAGTTCTCAACTTTTTGCTTGAGAGATTCATATTTGGCGGAGATTTATTGATAGAATGTATTACAAAACTCTTTAATCATAGTTTGAATTCTTACTACACACCTACAAATATGAAAAAGGAATAATAACAGTTTTATTTAAGGAAGGTAACAAAAAGAGAAATGATCCAGCTAGTTACAGAGCTATCTCCCTTTGTTCCGACTTGTTAACATAGTTTGAAATGATCGATCTACAAATTGCAGAAATGGATGGTGGCATTCATTTAAATCCATCACATGGTGGTTTCAAAAAACGTTAGCTGTTTGATGAAAGGATTAATGCTTCGCGAAAGTGTACAATATTCCATGGAATATAATTCTGCATTGTATGCATGTTTTTTAGATGCGAAACAAGCATTTGACCACGCTTGGATTTCTTCATTGTTCAAAGTAGTGTAATTGTTCTTCGAAAACTGTTACAGCTATGTAAAATCAAAAGGATTTGTCTCCGACTGGTTCCCCGTGCTGCAAAGTACACATCAAGGACAATGTTGTAGTCCTCAATTTTACATCCTCTTCATAAATGAGCAGCTGACGTGTAAAAGTAGTTATTAAATTAACAAATAGTCTTGGTATGTGCATGTCCAACCTCAGCTGACGATATCGTCACCATTTCAGGACTCGATGAACTTATAGATACATGCTTCAGTTACGCCAAAAAGGAACGTTACTTTTATAATGCAGCGATATGCAAAGATCTCGTTTTTAATGATAAATGTAGCAACAAAAGACTATGGAAAATGGGAAATAAAATTATAAGTGAAACTAACTCATATGCCCATCTAGGCATTCTTTACACATGTTTACATACATGACTTGAATATTCGCAAGCTGCCATAAACTTAGGAAAACATTCTTGATTCTTTAGCTTAACTAATAATGGAATAGGGAAAAATGGACTAAACATTCAAACAATCATTTCAAGACGTATTTACGAAACAAGTTCGAGATCTATAGGGAGGTGAATTATTGGGGGGAC